TGAGTCAACCGGAGTAAACAAGGTTTGTGTGAATCCACCCTTAGGAGGAGGCTGGCTAGAAGGAGCACATAGGCCTATGGCTCCGGCTAAATTTACATCTGTCCACTACAAATGCACTATCCACAACCTGGAGGAGTAACTAGTATAAATTAGTGTATTATTATAATGTTATGCGAACATTAGCCTACATAAAATGTATAATGTTCATTGTTTTATACATATTCATTATAATTTCAAACAATAGTATAATAATAATTTGAGTTGAACAATACAGCAGATTTATTTTGTGGCTTGTTTTCATTCATTAAATCCTTGTGCAGAAAAATTATCTACATTGTAGTTAGTCTCTAATTGGTACTAAGTACTAACTTATTAATCATGGTCACTCATGCGTAAGAATGAGTTCAACACAAGTTTGCTGTAGCACATACATCCCGGCTGTGATTGGTTGGTTCACAAAAAGTGACGCTGACGATTGCATCTGCTTTATGAAAAGTTTTTGGGGGCGTCATTCACACCAATTGTGTCCCGGATATTGTTTCAAACAGCCTAATGAGGGTTGGTGTCACCTTGTCCTGTAGAAGATGGGGGTCTGTGCGAGCTTTGTTGTCTGCTGAGCCACACAACGATGTGCCATGAGAGACCCAGTGTGATCTGGCTTTGCTTAGAGTCACAGTGGGATTTTCTGTCAATCCGCTGTCAATCTGCTGTCTCTCTCTCTCTCTCTCTCTCTCTCTCTCTCTCTCTCTCTCTCTCTCTCATCGCTTGCACACACATGTTGCCTTTTCTTGTCCTCTAGATATAAATATCCCCCTGCCTTCATCTGTTCTTCCCTTTAGTAGGCCACCAAGGAGCATTCGCTGGGAGTGTCTATTAAATCTAGTTGCAATAAGGATTCATCATACCGAACTTGCATGACATAAAGGACACCATCTAAGGTGTGGCCATAATTAACGCCTTTTTTGTTGTGTGTGCCCCTGGGTCCACTGAGAGTCTATAAATAGTCTGTAATTGTGTTGATGTCATTGAAATCGTGTCTGGAACTCCATTCAATCTTTTCCTAGACATGTGTTTGTTTGCGGTCTATGTGCGAGAGGTTTATCTCAAATTCACAGTGCAATAGTTTGATGCAATTAGTGCCCTATGACACTAAACAACCCAGGACAGAAAGAGATAAAGACAAGCAATGCAGTGTAAGAGAGTGTTCAGTGTGTAGAGGCGGGGTCAATAGGGACATGGGCCAGTGGGAAATGTGCAGGGTTTCCTAGCGGAACTTGACCTCATAACCATAATGTTACACTGCAGCAGCAGTGTGCCTTCATTACCAACCTTTTTATAGCTTCTCAATCCTATTACCTCTGCCCTTTTTTTGTACTGCTTTCCGTAGCTACTATCTCCCAAGCTTGTGTTAGCAGCATGTCTGCATTCCTTTTCTGACTCATTACAGGTCTGTTGTGTCTGGTACCCAAGAGGTTGTTTTTTAACAAAGAAAGGTATAACCTCACATGAGAAATACACCCTTACACCCAAATACACTCTTATTTTCTTTGTACAAATATTTTTCTCTTTAATAACATCATCATTATCTATTCCTTGACAGCGCTGCACCCTGCATATCACCCCACTTCTGGGCTGCACTCATCAGCTCCACCTTCACTCTTCGGCCCCAGCTCCTCTCTGCTCTTGAAGTGTTTGATTCAAATATATTTTCTCCAGGGTAGGAGGAGAAAAGCACAGGGGGAAGAAAATAAACAGATAGGGTCATTATTCATGTCTGCCGTGACGCTATGGCAACAGTGTCCTCCTGCCGTGATTGGTCGTAGATAAGGTTGCCTCTTTAGCCATTGCTTTTACTCTGGGGAGTGGACAAATTATTAGGCCGTTGTCAAGGCCTGCACTGTCAGTCACCTCCTAACAACTGTCGCTATTGCCCTATTTCTGCTGCCGTGCTTTAATTTCCTCTGGACAATATATAGGGAAACCCTGCATCATGTACTCTACACTGGCCTTTAGTCAGTCTGTTTACACAAGTGACTGTGTGTTTAACTAGTAGATCCAGTTCATGGATTAGGTTTTGTTTATGCTTAACAAGAGTAGGGAAGAGGACATTTTATTTTGCACTGTTTTATGATTCAAATTGAATAACACTGAAATAATTAATTTCATAAACATTATATTATACTATACTATATTAAATGTTGCATGGGTGTATCATGAATATGTTGTATACCTCCACTGCATTGTGTTCTCAGCTGCACTAATTTTTAGTGAGAAAAATGTAACTATTCTCTGATTTATTTCATCATATAACTTCCTGACCTCATTCATGTGGGCTATTGCCAAAACAGGCTCTGCGTTCCAGCTACAACCTCCCACTCAACCTCTAAGTTGTGCTGCTTGGTTCTGTGTCAGGATTTCTTTTAGTAATTCAGGGTTAATATAACAACTGAAGACTATGGTTCACTTTAGCTCCACTAAAGGAGCAGATGCTCTCCTGTCACGTTACCCTACCTGAGTTCATTGCTCCATAGTCAGCTTCCCACAAAAGTGCATTATGGTGGCACAGTTACATAAAACTTTGAGTTTAACTTTAACTTTGTCTAGTCAGTAATCAAAATATGTAATGGTGTGTTGTGTAATACATGTGCAGAAGCATTAAAATGATTGTAAACCAGAATGTCAGAGCATGTGTCAGTTTATGATATTGCTGGATTATGCTCTCTATAAAACTATTATCAATGGGATGCACAGGGTAGCCAATGCCTGCCATTGGTATTTTTAAGAGTAATGAAAAAAACTTTAAAAATAAAACTGCCTAAATTCTAAAACTAGAATTTGCATATTTTTATAAACAGCAAAAACTGAAGCTCAACAAATCTCCCTTTGTCCACACAACCCAGGTTATTTACCCAAATTGTGTTATAGACACTTTAATCTAATTGAAAAAAAGAGATACTTTACTTACTTGTTCCTATTGCACAGACCTCTCTTTGAGCAGTTTTCATAGGCTGTTTATTTGGTAGTTCTAAAGACTAGTTCAAATGAAAACTGTTCCAGTAAGAGGTCTTAACAGGCCTGTGTATTATGCGGAGTGACATTTCAGCAAAGACACAACATTTTTCAGTAGCACAGTTAAAATTTTGTTCACCTTCCTTGGGGTGTCAAGCGTAATCTCAGTGGCTAGTATGTCAAAACATGGGTAAATAAAAAGTATTTGCATGTTTATATACCTCTAAGTGAAGAGAAAATGTAACTTTATGTAATTTTGGTAAACTGGCCTTTAGTCTGTTTTCTGAATTTAGGGTTTGAAATAAAAGGCTCTACTTTATTTGTTTCCAACAGTAGTGCTATCATGTCTTAATCACACAACACACCCTAGAAACCTAAAAAAATAAAATCATCACCCTATAAAAATATAATCATTCTGATTAATTATCTTTTAGCTGTACATGTGGTTGAAGGGATATTACAGACTGGATAGCAGTGTAACGATTCTTCTGGTATTTCTCTCTGTGGTATATGGGAGTAGTCACTTATTCAGGTTAAACAAGCTCTAGGTACAAGAATGATATACAGTACTTAAAAGCAAATGCAGTGATTTTTTGTTTACACTATGAACGCTGGTTGAGAGGGGAGCTGTCATATGGTACTAAAAGAGGTGTCTAGCACCATGTACTTGCTTGTTAGCATGATTGGCGGGGTGTGAGTGTGGGACTGTGTGCGTGTGTGTCAGGGTGCTGTTTTCTGACAGACTTCCCAGTTCTCTGTATTGTGTAATGTGAATCAGGCATGATTTAGTGCAGTGGATTCTGGGGACATTCTGCTCCTATGTGACGATTGCATGTTCAGTTTTCAGTGACATGGTGGTGTCACAGCAGGGGGTGCAAGTGACAAGCAGTGATAGGGCTCTCCCCTCTAAATATAGAGAGACCACTAGAGGGTGAAATCTATGTGAAATATCATGAGGATAATTTTTGATTATGATCACAGAAACCTTACTATTTCATCTAGTTCTAGTTCACCTTATCAATGTTTTGGTGTCTACTGTGTAGAGTCAGCAGTGTATGTGAAAATAGTAGGCTTGTCTTCAGTGCACATTTAAGGACTCTTTCTATGATCATAGAAGTGCGGTTACAATTCATAACCTGTTTTCAGTTATCATCATGCTAGCGGGCAGCATAACCATGGATGGAATATATCAACAGCTATTAGATGAATTGCCAGTGAATTTAGTACAGACATCGGTGGTTGTCAAAAGATGAATCCTTAAATCCAAAAATGTCTCAACAACCAGTTGATAGATTGCCATGAAATTTGGCGTACACATTCATGTACCCCTCAACATAAATTGAATAACTTTTGGTGATCTCCTGATTTTTCATATAACGCCACCATCAGGTCAAAATTTCACCTTCAGTGCTTTGGTTTATGACTAAATATCTGCAAAACCAAGGGCATTCCAATCAGCATCAACTGTGCTCTGTGTTTTTTGATAATTAGCAAATGTTAGCATGCTAAAACACTAAACTGTGATTGTGAACATGATAAACATTATACCTACTTAACATCAGCATGTAAGCATTGTTTTTGTGAGTATAAGCATGCTGACATTAAATGTGCATATATAAGTACAGCCACTAAGCATGGCTGAAGACTCTTTTATTTCTCAAATGAACAGAGTTGGAGTCAATAAAGTTATCAATAGAGTTTTTCCTTATATATTAAATATCTGACATTTGGAGACATTAGAGAAGAATTTCAACAAGCCACATGTACTGTATTCTGTGATACTTTTGTTTTTGTGTATTGGATGCTAAACATTATTTTCCACTCAAGCAAACTCACTGTGGATAAGTGAGTCATGAATAAATAAGTGGTCCAAGTCAATCCAACCCATTACCTGTATGCTCAAGTGCATATCTGATATGTGATTTTAACTGTATGTAATTCCCTGATCCTGCAATCCTTACTCATATTTCTTTCATAAATGTGTCTTTCAGATCCTGGCCATCATCTCCATCCTCTTCATCGTGCTATCCACCATTGCCTTGTCTCTGAACACCCTTCCAGAGCTGCAGGACACAGATGAGTTTGGTCAATCCTCAGACAACCCACAACTGGCCCACGTGGAAGCTGTATGTATTGCCTGGTTTACCATGGAGTACTTGCTTCGCTTCCTCTCCTCCCCCAGCAAGTGGAAGTTTTTTAAGGGTCCCCTTAATGTCATTGACCTGTTGGCCATCTTGCCCTACTACGTCACCATCTTCCTGACAGAATCCAACAAGAGTGTGCTGCAATTTCAGAACGTCCGCCGCGTGGTACAGATTTTTCGGATCATGCGAATCCTGCGTATTCTGAAGCTGGCTCGCCACTCCACGGGCCTTCAGTCTCTGGGTTTCACTCTTAGGAGGAGTTACAATGAGCTGGGCCTGCTAATCCTTTTCCTGGCCATGGGCATCATGATCTTCTCAAGTCTGGTGTTCTTCGCTGAGAAGGATGAGGAGGATACAAAGTTTAAAAGCATTCCAGCTTCTTTCTGGTGGGCGACTATTACAATGACCACAGTAGGCTATGGAGATATCTACCCAAAAACTCTACTGGGGAAGATAGTGGGGGGGTTATGCTGCATAGCTGGAGTACTGGTGATTGCCCTACCTATTCCCATTATTGTAAATAACTTCTCTGAATTCTACAAGGAACAGAAGAGGCAGGAAAAAGCACTTAAACGAAGGGAGGCCTTAGAAAGGGCAAAGCGAAATGGTAGCATTGTCTCAATGAACTTGAAAGAGGCGTTTGCTCGTAGTGCAGAACTAATGGATGTGGTGGTAGAGAAGAGTGAGAGGCCCCATGACAACCACCTCTCTCCAAGCCGTTGGAAATGGACCCCAAAGAGGGCTGCATCAGAGACAAGCTCAAACCGTTCCTTTAATGCCCAGGAGTTAGGCTCTCCCAACAAGGCCCGAGACACCAGTCCCCAGAGGCTAAATGTTCAGAAGCTGGAGGAGATGTACAATCAGATGGCCAAGACACAATCCCAACCAAACCTCAACGCTAAAGACAGGGGCTCCAGAGTTGGCAAGCAGAGGGATGAGATAGAACTGGGGGCCATCCAAGATCATGGGCCACCAGTGCTAGGAACCAGAGAAGGAGTAGGGGACATGAAAAGCTTGTCCAGCATTGACAGCTACATCAGTTGTGCTACAGATTTCCAGGAGAACCCACGCTTCCCCCATAGTCCAGCAATGGAGCTTGGCCTTCAGGAAAGCAACCGGTTCTCCCACAGTCCAGCTATAGCATTGTCTCAGCATGGCAGTGCAAAAACAGGCCAGCAAGCTACTGGGGAGCATGAGCCCATGCTGCCCCCCGTGTCTGTTGCAAAGCCCTCATACTCACAGAATGCACGGAAATTCTTCTTTTCTGGCAACTCCTCAAAAACCCTCATTCCCAAAGGAGGCTGTCGCAGCGAAGGGGAGTCGTGCCTGTCCCCACTCTCAGACAGTTCAGTCCTGTCAGACCACTCTCTGTTAAGCCCTGAAGTTTCTATCTACACCACTGCCAGCAGCAGAACCCCACCGAAGTCCCCAGATAGCACTGCCCCAACTGTCTTCACCTTCCATGACTCCTCCATCAGCAAATACATTGACGCCGATACAGATGATGATGAGCACCTCCGCGACATCTCTGATGCCAGTCCCTCTGAGCGTCTTTTGGCTGGTTCAAGCCCAAAACGCAGCATGAACATCAATTACCAGAAAGGCACCAACCATTTAGAAGCAGCCCAAAAATTGCTAGGCCAGAACTGTCTGTTCCCCATTGAAGGGATTTGTGGTGTAGCCCATGAGAATCACGTAGGTCCTGAGCTGGCACGTAGACCAAAGTTTGAGAGGGGGCGTCAAAATACTTTAGATAAAAGCCTCTGAGGTACAAGTGCAGCTGAGATAAACAGGAAGCTAGGGCCGGAGTGTTTGTGATGGAGACACTGGATGGACTAAAAACACTCTATAAGCCAGAGACAAAGGAAGAGGGAGAGACAAAGAGTCTCACTGAAACATTTCACAAATTAGCTGAGTGTGCCAATGGGCTATAAGCTCAGGATGAACATGTGTGGTGAATACTCTGGGAGAAAAACACTTCTAAATTGGAGAATGTCACTGCCCCTCCTTCAACTCATTCCTATTAGCGGTATTACACACCCACAAAAGAAAAGATCACTCCCAGGAAGCCAACTGGTTTGTTCAGAGATCCCTGTGGAAGCAGAGTCATCAGAGAAATTTAAATGTGGCTATAACTGGTGTAACACAACCAGTGATGGTTTTAGCAGCAGGGAGGAAAATTCCTGCTGCCCAGTATCCCATTTCTGAGTCCCAGTTCATTTTGTAGTCTTGAAGATACAGGAGAAGACTTAGAAGCCTATAAGCTACGTACTTGTGCCCTCCATTCCCAAAACTGGCCTTAGTCATTTACATTTGTAGGGGTGTGCATGTCTGCATATAAGTATGTGTGTGCATGTGTGTGAGTGAGTGTGAATGTTGATGGGCGATCTAATGGTAATTCATGTATACACACTCTTGAGATTGTCTTACCTGATTTATTTTTATATAGATAAGAGAAAGTTCCTTATAGAAATATGTGATTTGCTAGTCTGCTGTGTCATAATCATATGTGAAGAGTAATCCCGTATAAGGTTCAATGTCTTGGCACAGAGGCTACAGTTAACAGAGACTCCAGCCCAACAGCCATTGTGAAGAGCTCTCTTTCTTGAACAGTATTTTGCTATCCCCTATGTTATCATGTCATGGATGTTTCTTTCAACTCTTGACAAATGAATATTGTATTAGCACCTCAGTATCGGTTTTAAAGGATGGTAGTGGTAGTGGACCAAGAACTTTCATATGGGCTAACATAACACAAGATCCAGAAATAATAAGCTTGATTGCTACATAAAGCACATATTTATGAAGCGTGCATGCGTCCAACCGGTCAACATACAAAAACATGAGATGCTTTAAAAATCAAACATATGAAAATCCTCTAATATAGTTTTTATGTTTACAGCATATGATTACTGACATTAAGTTTATATTTTAGTAACAGATGTTCAGCATGCATTGGCCTTCCTTTGTCCAACATGAAAGTAGCCAAAGAGCTCACACTGATCAGATAATGGAATATGCGTGTATTTGATACTGAAGGCAGGGGAGTTTTTCTTCTCTACTTTAAAATAAAGTTTAACAGCACTGAATATACACAGCAAAGTTAACTTTATTCTATGTCAGGTGTAAATGCCCAACCTGATGAAACCCATGCATGAGCACACGTACCCACTAAAGATACGTACAGGTATGGATCACAATCTTCAGGATACACATTACATTTAGTTTCCATGGTGACAGCAGCTATCCTCAAAGGCGGGCAGCAGCTGAGCAATGGTTTGTTAATTGGGGCGGGAAGGTTTGGTTGCATGTAACGTATGTTCAACACATATACAAGAACACACACAGGCATGTAACCATAGTGACATGTATGCACAGTAGTCACATGTTAGCAGAGCCACTCTTCACTGTGCATATTTATGAGTACCGTGTAAAAGCAATTATGATGTAAGGATCTTGTACATTGTTATGTTTATGTCTAAAATATCTGTAGCATCCCATAAATACTACAATTCCCCACAATGCATTCTCTATTATCTGTTTAGATACCGTATTGCCTCATAGCAGAGAGACACAGTCCTACATAAGACAAGTGTCACTTGCCACTGTTAAAAACAACATATTATAAGAATGACCAATGCTCCATCTCCTGAGAGAAGCATCATAGAAATCTCTCTCCTCTCTCCATGATAATCCCAAGCTTAAGAATGTGAATGAATATGATCCATATAGTTCATGCTAACATGAGCAGAGTTAGTTTACTGTGAACTTACTTATTCTTCCTCAGCCCCTTGAAATCTAATTGAACACTTTAAAGAGCAGGTATATTTTATGTCATCACAACTTTCTCCAATGTTAATGAGATGAGTGAAGAAGAACCTCACTGCCAAATAAATTCCCAAAGAATACTGACCAAACTGTAAAAGCTTCCTGGCACAAATATATAAGTAAAATATGCTAATAAAAGAGTTCATACATTATACATGTAGGTGTTGAGTAAAATTTGATTCAGAAGTCAACAGATGGTGATCGACATCCTTTTTTTAGTGTTGTGGTTAAGAGTATAATCACAAACCCTGATTTCATTTCCTTTTTTTAATCACAGAGTTGAACCATTTCATAGTGCTCTCCCATAGTGAGAGGAGCTGAGGTGTGAAAAGAATAGCAATGAGACAGAGGGAACCATGTTTGTGCGCGTGTGTGTGTGTATGACTGCTGTAGAGTCAGGGCATTAGAGCTGTGTGGTTGCCACTTAATGGAAAAGAATGAACTGTTTCTGATATGAATGTATGCTTGTCGGGGAATCCTGCTTTTCCTTTTTCTCCGTATTCTATCTGCAGTTCTGACTCTTAACATGCAGCAGTAAGACCGATTGTAACGCCAAGAAATCTCTAATCATATGAGAAATTAAGATTATTTTAGCACACATTTAATCCTTTAAGTGCAGCTTCATTTACATCCTATTCATGAAGAGAGGGATGGGAGGAGCAATTTATGAATTTCATTTAGCATACTTCAAGTAATTAGGCAAGGATGGATGGTTTGAGCTGGTGAGAAAATGTATTTTATGCAGCATCATAGTGTCAGCTCCTAAATGCACTATGTCTCACTACATAACGATGTTTTGTATTCAAGTTAAATTTCTAAAAACTGCCCTTTGTTGCAGATAAACTCAAGTATTTGCTAAAAGTATATTATATTATATTAAAATAAGAAAATGTCTTATGGCATAACCACTGACTGCTATAATAGTTAACATTTTCCAGAAGCCTCTGTTGAATTCAGATTGAATCATTCAAGTCTCCACCAAAAACTTGCTGTAAATGGCTGCTCCTTTGGTTCTATTCATAATTAATTAAGTCTTTCCACAATAAACTTGTGCAATGCATATCACACTTTTAGGTGCAAGTGGCAGAGGTTAAATTTTACAATAGAAACATGGTAAAAATGCAAGGTTGGACCATTACATTACATTTTGTCTCAACAACAGAAACATTTGGTTGATATACCAACAGTTGGATGTCAGTTCCTGGTTAACATTTTGTTGCATATGTATCTTTATCTTATGAAAAGTATGGCAACAATTTTAACCTTAATTTTAATCTTTTACCCTCTTACACCTATTTACCTTATTTACACCTATAGTCCATGGAGATTTTAGATCAGTCTGAGGTGACCTTTGAGTGTGTTACATAATAAAAAAAATGGATAATTAAGTTTCACTTTTCAACACTAAGATAAAGGGCATTCAGACCACTCAAGCTGTCATGAAGCATCATGCGAGCTTCTGCGAGCATCATTAGGTTTTCTATATTACGGTAGTCAGGGACCACTTTTCACTGAAACAACGATGACAATCAATATTCGATGAATAGGCAGCAAGCTCTATTGTAGAAAACTGACATTTATTACAAAAATTACAACCATGTACATTACACACAAATCCTGACACAAGTATTGATACTATATACTATATAAAGCTTTTAGACATCATAGTGCAAAGAAACAACCATTATGTTGTGATATGATACCTAGACTGTGATACTGTGACATTAGACCAATGTAGAAACAAAAAACATTAATTTAATTTTACAAGTCATCCTTGTTTTTATTTTATTCAGGTACTCCCCTCCATTTTCCAAGGGAGCCATTGAAAATAATGAAATCTAATAGAAAAAAAGAGAAGCTTTTAATTTCAATTAGATTAATGTGGAGAAATTCTGATGTGAATCAAAAGACTAAACCATCACGCTTTAAGAAGAAAACACAAGTGACTTGTGTTATTTCTCATTTATTGAGACCAATTAAAATGAAGAGCACAAGTTTTCAAGCATTTCCATAACAAGACTCCCAACTGTACAGTAAATGCACTTAGTTGAAACCTGAAACATCAATTTGGATGTCACACTAGCTGCTAAATTTATCTGTAAAGAGGTTCAAGTTTTTTTCATTGTTTGTTAGAACCCCAGAGGACCCTTTTCAAGAACATTTGGCCCAGTGAGAAACACTGCTTTAGCAAGTAGCCCAATTCCACATGGTCTGAATCTAACACTGTATTACGGGGTTGGGGTTGATTCAGGATGCCTTCCTGGTGTAAAACACACATCACACATGACAGTATAAAATAAACCAGTATTAGAGCATGAGACAAATTAAAACCTAGTACAAATTAAAAACATAAACTATATTTTTTCTACGTTTTAAGCTCAGTGGAATTGACCCCAACCTTGCCTAAGCCATCAGTCTTTGTAAAGTACACTGTTTCCAGGGAATTGAAAAAAGATATTTGAACGACCTTAGCCAGCTCTTATACAATGTTGTTTGTAGGTCCCGAGGCTGTCTGTTTTGTAAAAAAAAAAAAAAACAACACATTTTTACCTGTTGACTTTCTATGCTGTTGTTTCTGTATAAATGTTCTATTGTTCAGTGCATGTTGTAACTTTGGCGTTGTGACTGGTTGTGATTCACACAGAGCCAGTACTTGTCACGTTAAAAAAAGTGTCTCAATGTCCCAAGATATTTCTATTTCTTAAGAAAAGCTACATTTCCCTTGGATGACTCAAAATGAATGAAATAAATCAGATCACTTTACATTTTGATTAGGAATTTCTGACTTTCATTTTACTGATAATTAGCCGTTTTTGATGCAAACCAAAAAAGGAATGTGTAGTAAGAACAGTAAATGTATTATATTCTGACTAAGAAATTAGAATTTTCATAGGCACACATTCAGCCATATTAATAAAATGTTTACTCTGGAGACGATTACATTTGGTCCTTATAACTTTAAAGGCGCAAGCGTTGACCAGCACTCTTTAACAGAACAAGTTTGGCAACCAGTGTTTGTAATTATTTTGGTCAGTTTGCAATTATACCGGCAGATTGTTCTTTATACATGTGTATGGGTAAACACGTACAGGAGTTAGGCTAACAGAAGGAAGGAGGAGGAGGTTAGATGAAGAGGAAGCTGTGGGCTGTTGGGCATGAGCAGGCCTCTAGCCTCCCCACACGCCTCCACACACCCCTGCATCGAGGGTTTCCCACCGCCTGCCACTGGAGAGACTGTCTTCTGCAGGAAGGAAGGAGGGAGAATCGAGTTAGTGGTCACAAGATTTCTCTATAAATCCAAGTGATAAACAATGTCACCATCTAGTGGTAGTGCTCACTGTTACCAATCTAATCTAAGAGAGAGATTAGTGGTCTGGGATGATAAAACGAACAAACACAAACCCTGGAAATGTGACCCAGGCCGCTCTATCACTACTCTATCCATCATTGACCCCCTCAAACCACAGACAGAAGAAACTGAATGTTCGAACAGTGTTGTACATGCTAGATATTTGCAGATAACACGACCAGGAAATTCTGTCTATGCAGTTGTGTGTATTAGCTGCACATAAGTACATATATCTGCAAATATATTATTACCATTTTATGGTAAAGGGGCTATGGTTATCCTAATTCTAATTTTTTAATTAAGTATATACTTAAAGGAAAAGTCTGGATATACATAATTTGCTTTCTTGTCAGGAGTGTGTACAGTAAATATGCAGCCGGTTAGCTTAGCGTAACACAAAGAGTGGAAACATGAAAACCACTAGCCTGGCTCTGTCCAAAAGTAGTTAAATCCACTTACCAGCTAACCTGCTTGTGGCTCCAGCTTCATATTTACAGTACAGGCATGTGAGTAGTATTAAGCTTCAAACATCTAACTGCAAAGAAAGCGTGTATCTCCCAACATGTCAAACTATTCCTTTAAACTGGAGTAGCCTACACCTTGGCAGATAAGAATTAACGCAACCATGTCATTAGTCCCTTCAGCCCTTTGTCAGCTTAATTCTTCCGTGTCATACAGTAAATCCCTGCTGCAATAAAGTTTAGGTGCTGTTCCATGAACAAAAAGGGAATTTTCTGGTCCAGGGGAGCAAGTTAACAACAGTGTAGGATTCACGAGACGGTAATATCCAGAATACATCATGATTACATTTCCTGTGCATAGTGCACCAAAGAAACAAATATGTTGTAGACGCCCTAGTAAACAAACAATATTCAAAGCATTTTAATTAATCTGTGATATTTTGTAACAAAGTTTCCTCTGTAAATATAAATACCTATTATTAATCATGAAAGACAAGTGGTGGGTAATCCCTTCCTAATTTACTCATGTGTTATACTGTTTATAGCTGGTAATTGCTGGTACAGAATACTTGACTCTGCAATTGGGTGAGATGGAAAGGTCACCTCTATTAGTTTTGTGAACTTGCGTTCAACACCGTTCTTGACATATGAGCAAAATTCACTTCAAGGTAATTTCATGGCTGAATAAACCCCTGGCTTGGCTTTAAAAAACAAATACCATATCCATACCATATCTCTTATGGTCAACACAAGCTTAACTCTGTGCGTTTTTTCTAAATTCGTAGAATCTTAAGTGTCGAAACTTTTTCTTGTTGTTATTACGGTGACAAAAAGGCAAGAAGTGAGTTTTGATTTGACTGTGTTTTGGGTGAGATGGAAAGGTCACCTCTATTAGTTTTGTGAACTTGCGTTCAACACCGTTCTTGACATATGAGCAAAATTCACTTCAAGGTAATTTCATGGCTGAATAAACCCCTGGCTTGGCTTTAAAAAACAAATACCATATCCATACCATATCTCTTATGGTCAACACAAGCTTAACTCTGTGCGTTTTTTCTAAATTCGTAGAATCTTAAGTGTCGAAACTTTTTCTTGTTGTTATTACGGTGACAAAAAGGCAAGAAGTGAGTTTTGATTTGACTGTGTTTTGATACAAGAAACATTCAAATAAGCTTACAAACACTGTTCTCCATTCTTACCTGTCCTCGACCTTTTCCTCTCCATCTCCGGCACAGTGTGTCTGTCCAGCGGTGAGAGCAGGCGGCTGGCACTCGACACACACACGGCGTCCCTCCCTCAGGTACTGCATCCACTGGGTGTGTAGGCCTGAGCTCTGCTGGCATCCTTCTGTCAGAGAGGTCAACCGAAACTGGATACAATACCTATTTTACAGACACACACACACACACACACACACACACACACTCACACACGTAACTCTAAATACCTATTGACGATTCATGAGAACATATCACAGGTAAAAAGAGTGTAATTTCACATTTTTCTGGACTCTCTGAAAGTGTTACCCTATGATGTCGCTGCTGTCAGGAATGTCTCTTTTCCTTCTGGCGTTGCCATAGCCACCCATGGTAATAAGTGCTGGGGCTGCAGAGGGAGCATCCAAGATAGGTAGAAGAACATTACATGTGACCATATGTTGCAATACTGGGCCTCATGCATTTAAAAGGAGCATGAGCTGAGAAAATGAAGAAGGATTCTTTGGTGTGTCATTTCCAAATTAAGGAGACAAGAAAAACAAATACAGGGAGAATTTGCACTCTTAAGACAACATCTGGTTTGATATATTTTCCAAGGTAACTTCAGAATTTCTGCTCTTCTTATTGAGTACTTCATTGCCACTGCAGCATAGACAAGGAGTAGCTATTATGACCCATTTTAAGTTTATGATTAAAGACTGCACATGTAAGATAATCACAACTTCTACTCACAATGTCTAAATTGTTTAAACATATATAAAACACCAACAAGGTAAAAAGTAATTAAAAAGAAACCCTTATTGTGCATGTAACTCTCTGTTTCATTGAATATCTTCCCAGAAAATACCAGTAAAGTGCCTCATTGTGTTACATTTAATTACTGATCTGTAATGATCTGTCCTCTGATCAGTTCATCAGTAATGGGTATAACATGTCTTTTACAGGTCAGTTAACAATTAAGAGGTGCTTTTGTGACCTTGCTCTTATGTCTAAGAAATTCCTGTCTGTCTCAGTTGTTAACTTCAGATGTAACCTGGTCTAATCAAACATTAGAATAATGTAAAAATAACCCTGTTTAGCTAAGTGACCCTTTAAGTCAGTCATATTTTTCATTTAATAACTCCCAGCAACACAAATTCTGCCAGTATACACATACTATATGACACAATGGGTGAGCTATCTTCAGGTAAATACTATTACTGCATCAAGTCATTCCTCAGACTCTTATTTTTAAAGAATGTCAGAGAATAATGAGATGATCACGTGGATGTGTGGAAGGATTCAGGTATAGATTTTACTCGCCAAGTGAGTTGTGACAGTGTCCTTGCTGAGACCAGTACTCTGCACAGCCGGCGTGCTCCTCCAGATGGGGACAGGGTTTGCCTGCATTTAGTGGCTCCTGCAGGATCCTCCTTCTTCGCCTGCGGACGGTGGCCCGGCAGGGCTCGGCGCAGCCGGACCACGCCGTCCACTCACTCACCGCACAGGACACCGCTGAGAGGGGAAAAGACAGAGCATATCACATATGCCACATTAATTCCAGGAAATCAAATCATTTCAGTGACACTGCAGGTACAGGGAAACTGGGTGTTTGACACATACACACACATACACACACACACGTAGTAGCCTATCATGCTTTTCATGTGAGGGGTCAGACGGGCTTCACTGGGTGTGTTTGGAGGAAGTCGGTTGAGGTAGATAAAACACTGAAGTTATGCATCACTGGAGATCAAACCTGTGGTATCCTATTAATAGTCTCACTATAACAATGTGCTAGCCTGGGAGGATTATGCAGACTTCAAAGCATAAAAATATCTTTAACTACAAAATCGTAATGTAATTTTATTATTTCTACCGTATTTTAAGTTTTTTGATTTTTAATGAAGGCCCATAGCCTATTGTGTATTTTACTGACAAAGTGGGATGCAAGTCAGTCTTAAACACTTCACTAACATAATCACACTGTGGAGAATGTTTAATAGTCCATGCACTAAACAAGTTTTCTTCAACACAAACCCACCTGGGCAGGCTGTCTCATAGTCGTGGCAGCAGTCCAGCATGGACACGCAGGCTTGGTCGCAGTAGCAGAAGCCATGGGACCGGTCAGATCTCCATCCTTTGCTGATGCAGGACGGGTCCCGGCCAGTGCAACAAAGACCTGTTTCCCGACAGCCTGAATGACACAGACTGACGAGGAATAAAGACACTGCGAGACAAACCAAAGTGACAGAGCTGCTCCTCCAGATTGTCATCACAAGGAACCGCGTAGCTGTACACTTCAGCAAGCCCAGGAGTTTCAGTGGACTATGAAACAATTTAAACCACTTAGGCCTAATTCCTGTCTGACGTTACTCACCAGAGGAGTGTTTTAAAGTACTGTCATTTTAAAGCCATTAAATGAACTCCTATCATCTGTGGTCAGTTAACTCATCACATCAGGAGTTAAAGCACTGGTCGGTGGGTTGGAAGTTATTCATGTGTCAACTCTGTTAAACTACTGTTATCTCTTAAAGGAACAGTTCACCACCATAGGTAAATTAATTTGTAACCTCACCAAAATGATTGTGTCCAAGCATCATGAAAGAAAATTGAAAAGACAGTCTCTACCTACTGAATTTTAATTTTTTTTATATAGTTTGTCCTGCCTTACAAGATATTAAGTATTAGCCTTTACCTGCATTTTCTTTAAATACTCTGTGTAAGAATGTGAGTACTATGGGCAGAAAAGAAAAGTGATCTGAAAAGATAAAATCAGCACGCTTAATTGTTGAGGCTGAGTAGCAGAAACAGAAGAAAAGGTTACATTTCCTGTATAGGTCTTCAGTTTGATGTATAGAAAAAAAATAAAGAAACTTGCAAAATCAAAGTCTAAAAGAAAAGTCTGGTTGCTTAAATTCTTTCACTGCCTCTCTCTCAATCTGTTTATGAAGCAGCCAGCTTCCCAGGCCCATGTGTGCCTCAACATGTGAAAAGACTGGATTAGTGAAACCCCTATGGCCGAGGTTATTCATGCAAAAAGAACAACAGTGTGGACAGTGCGGGCCTCCACTCAAACTAAGATTCCCAGTAGCCTTCTGCTGTGTGTGTGTGTGTGTGTGTGTGTGTGTGTGTGTGTGTGTGTGTGGGAGAGAAGACAGGAACAGAGAGAGGGGGAGAAGGGTGGAGCTGAAAGATTCTGATTCTGTTCAAAATTCAAAGGAAACATAAAACCACAGACAAAAAACATTACCACAGCAGCTGTGGTTCTTTTTTCCCCTATGTGTGGCCCTACCTTGTGGACTCCACGTGTATCTACAAAACTGTGTAGCTTGCAGAGATGTTTACCATGTCTATTTACTGCTCCAAAACAGACTGTCACCACTGACACCACTCACGGGCCTTCCAGTTGGCCGGGAAGTGCTCAGAGGATGTCAGGGGGGAGTCGCACTATGATTTGGCTGGCGGGGGTCTAGGGTCCAAAACGAGACACAAGGGACTTAGAGAGGGGGACAGGGCTCGGAAAAATCAGGCGAAGGGACAGGGCAGAACAGAACCGAGGGAACAGGGCCAGACAGGGTGCCTGAGGGCAGAGCAGTGGGACCAGGGAGTTCAGGTGAAGGCAGGACCGAGGGGGAGCCAGAGAGTTCAGGCGGGCGGCCCAAAGGCGGGACAGAGAGGGAACAGGGAACCTCGGGCGGATGTCCCTGGGGCAGGGCAGAGAGGGAACATGGGACCAGAGGTGGGCTTCCCATGGGCACGACAGAGAGGGAACATGGGACCTGAGGTGGGCTTCCCAGGGGCAGGGCAGAGAGGGAACATGGGAGGTCAGGAGGTCGAGAGCCTGAGCTAAGGTACACAGGGGGCCAAGCAGAGGGTCGACGGCGAGGACCGGAGGCCCCAGGAGGCTGTCCATGAGGCCAGCGGAGAAGACATAACCTCTCCAGAGGTCGGGCTAAGGGGAGACTGGGACGGGGGCAAGACCCCTCTGGAAGACGGGGAGTAGCGCTAAAGGCCAGCAGCGAGACAGCAGTAGGGGAAATCAGGGACAGGGCTGCTTGGCTGAGGGCCGGTGCCGAAGCGGGAGCAGGGGGAACCAGAGACGGGGTTGGAGGGTTGGGGACTGTAGACAGGGAACAAGGAGGTGGCGTGGTCTGGGCTGCGGGCTGGGCAAAGGCCTTGGTGCGAGCCAAAAGGGCACGAGGAGCAGGTGTTGGCTGGATCACCGGCGGAGTTGGAGCCGGTCGATTCACCAACAGGGTACAAGGAGCGGGAGTCGGCCGGACCACCGACGGGGCTGATGTCGGTCGGTCCTCCGACAAGGTATGGGGGGCCGGGGATGGCCGGACCACCAACATGGCATGAGGAGCAGGGGTCGGGCGGACCACCAACAGAATAGGTGTCGGTCGGTCCTCCGACAGGGTATGAAGATCAGGCTGGGTGCTAGGGGCCCTAGGAGGCCAGGGATCAGGAGGGACAGGCTGGAGGCTGGAGGCTAGCGGTGCTAGCGGGCTGGGGATCGGGACCAGACTGGGGGCTAGCGGCCGGGGATCAGGAGGGACAGGCTGGAGGCTAGCGGCGCTAGCAGGCAAGGGAACAGGCTGGGGGCTAGTGGCGCTAGCATGCCGGGGAACAGGGTATGGATGCGGGGTGGAGATCAGGCGGAAGACCAGCAGGCCTCATGCTGAGCCCATCCTGAGGAACACTGGAGGAGTTCAAAGCCATGAACAGGGCTCTTTTGATGAGTTCCAACTCCCAAATCAACCTCGCCGCCTCGGGAACCTCCCAAAACCGTGGTTCCTGGGGTAGAGACCAAGGTCCTCAGTCTGGCCCAAAGCCCGAAACAATCTGTCCACGGCTACTCTTATCCCTCCCCTCTCCGTGGGGTCGGCGAAGGGGAGTGAGGTTGCAACACTCAGGAAGAACAGGCTTTATTGAAGGGGAAAAGGGGTTGAGGGAGAGGCGGACGCCGGGAAAAAACGGGCACGGGGAACCGAGGAGACTGAGACAAGGGAGCCGGGGGCACTGGGGACCGAGGAAGTAAGGAGGCATGGGGAGGACGCCGTGGAAGAGGTCCAAGGGGAGAAGGCAGGGTGTCGAGCCCAGCTGATGGAACGGAGGACGGAGGTGAGTGAACATGGAGGGGAGACGGACAGACAGGGTTAGACACTGGGGAAATCAAGAGTTCAGGGAAGCAGAAATGACGCAGAATACTCAGAGCTTGAATGGTGAAGTGGCACCAGATAAGGAGCAACGACAATCAAGCAGGGGTTGACTGGAGAACCGGGGTAGAAGTACTGTCAGAGATGAGGCTGATTGCTGGCAGGTGTGGCAGGCAGAGGAGGTGGCTGACGAGATGCAGGTGCGGGTCGTTGGCTGGGCTCAGAAGCGGAGGGAGAGAGAGAGAGAGAGAGAGCACAAGTAGGGGAGGAGACACAGGGAGGCAGGCAGAGCACAGGAAAACACCAGGAGAAAACAGAATCACAAGCAAAAAGAGAAAAAATAAAAAATAAAAAATCAGGACACTCACTGTCAGCCGGGCTGCCACCACAACAGATAGCCTTCATTTCAAAAGCAGTTCTCACAACAAAGTTCAGCCTTTTTGCATTAAAAAAGGTGAAAGATAAATGGCTTCCCACCAGTAGAAAACACTACTCTCTATAATTTTTATGGCCGTGTCCAACAAGGAAACTCACTTTGATGTGATCTTTGCTGCTGTTTCCAAGTGTGGCTCAACGACTCACAGAAGAGCAAAATTCCTGGCAGCATTTAAACTAACTACCTTCTTACTGCCTCAACCCATTTCTGTAAAGATATTCTTTATTTTAGAAAGAAGAAATATTTATCTGCACCTCCATGTTGTTGTGAGATGTAAAGCTCGACTGGGTTCAAATGTTCAGGAAAAACAAGCATCTAAATTTTCTCCAGAATATACTGCATACACACGTAGATACTCTATTACTATTATTGGTGACAATTTCAAATGCACTTTCAACTAACATGCTACAGTAACATAACTGAAAAGACTATGCAATATTTTTTTTAATGGGGATTAATAATAACGTTGTTAAAACATGCATGTTCTCTGATTCTCTAAATGTGGCTCACATGCTAACATAGTACACAAGGCTGGCAGTGTTCGCCAAGAACACAAGAATGTGATACAGAAACAAGTAGCCTTCCTGGGACATAAGTAACAGTGCAAAGATTTACAGTTCACATATATGTAATCTTCTTGTGTTCTCGTTTAAGATGATTCTGACTGTTCTATAGGGCAGAGTTAGAGCTGGGACCGAATCTTGTCCATGATTGGTGTCCCTTCGCTGAACACTGAACTAAAAATATTAAACTTTATCACACTGCTTAACCACAAATCTGAGGCAGCAATGCTAACCCTCTGAGCCCCTGCACTGCTCTTATGTACAAGATATCTGAGCGCATTTAGAGTAGTAATTATACTTCATTAGCAGCTCTGTGTTCTCACTTTCATACTTCTGTGTTACTTAGAAATATGAAAAATACTCATCTGTCCTGTACATTAATCTGGTATGATTGACAGTGGTACCGCTGAGGCAAGAATTCATTAATATACAGAATCCACATTGTTTCACACCAGGAATATGTTGCATTGATATTCTCCCGCAATTGTTGTGGGGCCTTGAACTAACATAAATGAACAGTGAAAAAGGACCAATTTGTCTCATTTCATGATGATGATTAGCCTCTTCTCCTGATAAGCAGGTCGAAAAAACTATTCCACATCTCTTTTCCTGCCTTCTGTTTCTACTGCCTTAGAAATAAACTGATGAACGTTTACACACACATATACAATGCAGATAAAGGTGCAAGTATTTCATATAGTTAGTAAGTAAGTTATGTGCATCTATATGCTATGCAAAAGTTTCAGGTGTACAGCATGTGCAAACAGTGAGCTTATCTTTAACTCAGTGTAATGCCATCTGGCACATGTTATTTTCCTCAGTGGTGGTGAAAATGCATACGTTCACATTATTAGGAGCTCAAAGTATTTCCTCTAATCCAGGAGGAGAGTGTTTAAATAAACCACGGATTGAGGCTGAGGTTCACAGGAGGAAGGAAACACCAGCTTGGCTGTCTGTATCCTTTGCACTCCCACAATCTAACAGAGTCTGATCCACTGTAGGCTACTGAGATATTCGTTCTTACAATCAAGGCCATCAGCAGTTAAGTAGATCAACATGATTTTTCTAATGGACCTCCAGATGATGCTGCTGGATGTGATTTACTTCATCCTGCGCAATTCTGTGCGGGTCGTCATGCCTCCGCGCACCAAGTCCATTGACGGCGAGCTGGTGCTGATCACCGGATCAGGCGGTGGACTGGGTCGTCTCTTTGCTCAGGAATTCGCCAAGCATGGGGCAGAAGTGGTGCTGTGGGACATCAACAGCAGCTGCAATGAGCAGACAGCCAAGCTGGTCCGTGAGATGGGGGGTAAGGCTCACACCTACACGTTGGATGTGACCAACAGGGAGGATGTGTACCGCAACGCAGACCTTGTGCGAAAGGACCTGGGCCGGGACGTTACGATACTGGTGAACAATGCTGGAGTAGTGGCAGGGCAGCGCATGTTAGATTGTCCTGATGAACTGATTGAGAGGACCATGAAAGTCAACTGCCATGCCCTCTTCTGGGTGAGGACGCTTTAGTCAAAATGAAAAGTGCTGAAGACCAATCACTTCATCTGTTAACTGTTTTAATAATCTGCTCAATATGAACAATAACTGCTTTTCTAATTATGTAAATGGACTAAAATCATGTTCATATATGACATCAAAACAATCAGTTTGTCAGTGTAGGTTCATAGTTTAATGAAGTAGGCATATAATCAAGACAATGGCTGACAATTCAGTCATTGTCTTGATTGCTTGTATACAGTGATTGTTAAACACTACTTCACATTCACTGACTGCTTTGATGGTGTGCCACCTTTTTACATTTTGTTCCCTGATTAGTAAACACTATTTAATTTAAAATATATATAATCTACCCGGCTCTGTGCTTGGCACAAGTCTAAGATAGATAAGGATTCAGCACGGACTAAAATTTAGAGAGCTGGAATTGAAGCATTTGAATAAATCTTTCCACCATCAGCTGCTGTACAGAGCAGGTTATTGTGCGTAGTGTGACGTGTGACATGTTAAAGGTATTGCGCTAAGCTTTATCCCCTTCACACTTTGGACTGTAGGATTGCACGCACACACACACAAATCCTCTTAATATAAAGCTGCAATGTGCAACGTAAGCTTCCGTCACAATGAGCATACATTTAAGTCACTACAAGTCACCAAGTCACAATAATGACCCGTTGCAATATAACAATGTATGTATCTGTGCCTCAGACAGTGAAGGCCTTCCTCCCGCAGATGAAGGCGCAGAATCATGGACACATCGTTACTATCGCCAGTGTCCTAGGTCTCTTCAGCACCGCTTGTGTCGAGGTGAACTGCAACAGTAATTTGTGTGTCTTTTATACAGTTCTCTGCTTAAGCCAGCCAATAAAGTAACACAATTCATAAGCATTATCACAACAGCAGTCTGAGTAGATCTGACAAACTGCAAGTTATTTTTGTAAATGGTCACGTTTTGATTCTTGTTTGAGACAGGATTACTGTGCCAGTAAATTTGCTGCTGTGGGCTTCCACGAGTCTCTGGCCCACGAGCTGCTGGCTGAGGAGGTTGAAGGAGTGAAGACTACTCTTGTGTGCCCCTATATTGTTGATACAGGCATGTTTGAAGGCTGCAAGATAAGGTACACCAGCTAAATACTCACTGCTATTCTCTGTCTTTTGCCGCCAAAGAACTGCCAAAGAAATACATCCCTCCTGCTCCTTCAGAAGCTCTGTCCATCAAATTTTAAATCTCTCAGGTTTCTCCAGTGTTGAAAACCATTTCGCCCTTGCCTTGTCACATAACGTTCTTCTCTGTTTATAATCTTAAGACCTTTTCCTTTTTGGCTGTTTCGCGGCCATTTCTCCTTCTTCACAGTGCCTGGAATCCAGCACCTTCAAATGTGCTGGTGTAAAGAACTCTCTTTCCCACTGCCCCACCTCCACCAACTACTTCTGTGCATAGGCACTAACTGTTGGCTGCATTTGGCTGCAGCAATGTTGTCTGGCAAGGTCCACACCACTTTATTTGATTTCCATTTACAGAGCCAGGGCTGTGTAGGAAACAGGATATTTTTTCAGAGCACACACAAAACAGAGCTAGCAAACCGTGGGGAAATATTCGCTGAATTTAACAAAAAGTGCACTGGATTACAGTCACTTACTATCCCTTTAAATCTCATCACATCTTTAAACTGTATTTCCTAGAATCTAAATGGCATATTTGAACATAACCTGCTGGCACAACATAAACACACTAAATATCCATCATCATGTGAAGTGAAGTTCTTGGGTTTATAAAAACACATTAAAGACAATGTGAAACAACAATGGCATTTAGATTCCTTCATCCTACAGTGAACCTATGTCCTGTCCTACTTCCTGGCTTGCCTCTGGTCCACCAGGTTCAGGTGTACAGTGTATTTCCTCATAAAGGTTTTCTTGCAGTAATTGTCTTGAAATTCTAAAATATGACACTGGGGTTCATATTCTAAACTAAATCTCTGTCTACCACTGCGCAGCACATATTCAGTACAGGGACAGGGATGTTGACTTGGGTAGACATTCTGTGACTGCTTCTGTTTGACCGTGGGTTTGCTTTCAAAAACACTGCATACATACTCGTAACTGATCCATTTGTCCTTTGGTGCCACAAATAGGGAGGAAATGGAACTACTCCTACCCCCTCTGGATCCCCAGTATTGTGTTGAGCAGGCCATGAACGCCATCCTGATAAACCAACCATTAGTATGCATACCTCGTCTCACCTACTTGCCCGTAGTCTCCAGAGCGTAAGTACAAAGCTACACCTTTATATTAACCAAAAACAAATAAATACTTTTGGTAACACTTTGTTAATCTGTGATTTACAATCAGGTATCAACAAAATACAGTGGAGGAAAACAAGACTAACAGTAATAATCTGGTATTTTAGAGGAAAATATATATATATATATATATATATATATATATATATATATATATATATATATATATATATATATATATATATATATATATATATATATATATATATATTAACAGAACATAAAGTAATTATTGTGTAACATACAGTTGCAGGAAAAAGTATGTAAACCCATTGGAATTACCTGGATGTCTGCATAAATTAGTCATAAAATGTGATCTGATCTTCATCTAAGTCACAACAACAGACAAACAGTCTGCTCAAAATAATACCACACAAACAATTATATTTTTCATTGAAGAGCATTTAAACATTCACAGCAGGGTGGCAAAAGTATGTGAACCCCTAGGCTAATGACTTCTCCAAAAGCTAATTGAAGTCAGGAGTCAGCCAACCTGGGGTCCAATCAATGAGACAAGATTGGAGGTGTTGGTTAGCGCTGCCCTGTCCTAAACAAACACACACACCAATTTTAATTTTGCTATTCTCATTAAGCGTTGCCTGATGTGAACCATGCATTCAACAAAATAGCCCTCGGAAGACTAAGATTAAGAACTGTTGACTTGCATAAAGCTGGAAAGGGTTACAAAAGTGTCTCTAAAAGCCTTGATGTTCATCAGTCCATGGTAAGACAAATTGTCAATAAATGGTGAAAATTCAGCACTGAGTGGGAGTCCTGCAAAGATGACTGCAAGAGCACAGCGCAGAATGCTCAATGAGGTTAAGAAGAAAGAATTCTAGAGTGTAGCTGAAGACTTACATCAATCTCTGGAACATACTAATGTCTCTGTTTACGACTCTACAATACGTAAAACACTTAACAAGAATTGAGTTTATGGGAAGATACCACAGAGGAAGCCACTGCTGACCAGAAATACATTGCTGCACATCTTAAGTTTGCAAAAGAGCATCTGGATGTTCCACAGCACTAGCAAAATATTCTGTGGACAGATGAAACAAACGTTGAGTTGTTTGGAAGGAACACACAACCCTATTTGTAGAGGAAAGAGGCACAGCACACCAACATCAAAACCTCATCCTATCTGTGAAGTATGGTGGAGGGGAAATCATGGTTTGGGGCTGCTTCGCTGCTTAAGGGCCTGAAAGCGGTGGTATCATCGACAGAAAATGAATTCCAAAGTTTATCAAGACATTTTGTAGGACGACATAAGGCCATTTGTCACCCAATGGGAGCTCAACAAAGGATGGGTAATGCAGCAGGACAATGACCCAAAGCACGGAAGTAAATCAACAACAGAATGCAACGGAACAGTGAGAGCCATGTCCTTAATGTGCTCAAGAAAGCAATTCACACCAGACATCCCAAGAATATTGCTGAACTGAAACAGATTTATGAAGGGAATGGTCCATAATTCCTCACGACCGTTGATCAGGTCTGATCTGCAACTATAGGAAAAGTTTGCTTGAGGTTACTGCTACCAAAGGAGGGTCAACCAGTTATTAAATACAAGGGTTCACAAACTTTTTCCACCCTGCACTGTGAATGTTTACACAGTGTGTTAAAACAAACCCGTAACATATGATTGTTTCTGTGGTATTAGTTTAAGCAGACAGTGTTTATCTATTGTTGTAATTGAGATGAATATCAAATCCCATTATATGACCAATTTATGCAGAAATACAGGTAATTTCAAAGGGTTCACATACTTTTTCCTGTGACTGTATTTCACAGTTACACCAAATAGGTGATTTAGCCAACCAGCTTATGGTCTTTGAATTGCAGTACAATAAAACTTAAAATTTGAGTTTTGTTTCCCAGTACTGTATTCCCAGGACCATATGTGCCCAGTATTTACAAAAGTGATATTTTGTCCTTTTCTCCAAAATGGCCAGTTCCTACTACCTTGCTCCCCATAGTTTTATCTTACACTGTAGGAACTGATAAATATTTTATTAGTACCCAATTCAAAGAACAAAACTACACTTTAAATTGCATGCTGTATTTTGAAAGTGCTGCCCTGTTTTCTCCCTCTTTTTACATTTCTTCATGCGTGCAAAAAGCTGATGTTCAGTATTCTAACTTTTATCACGCATTTTTTCTTCCAGGTTGTTGCCATGGGAATCTAATGTGGTTACGTATCGTTTCATGGGGTCCGACAAGTGCATGTATCCCTTCATTGACACCGTGAAGAAACTATCACCTAATGTCTCCGCATAATCATATCTAAGTTTATACAGCTTTGGGAGTCAAATCCATAAAATTAAAATCAAATGTCATTCAAATGGTTTGTGATATTCCAGTTGATAGAAAAAATAATAATAAAAAATCCCCTCTGCATGCGTGGACAGCAGTGGGCCAAACAGCCCAGCTACAGCCAGGATTCAGTAGCATTTGGATGATGCAAATGGATGAGGCTTTAGATTTTGAAACTGATCATTCAGAAGTGTGTACTTGATGACGACTCAGCCAAGTGGTCATCAGCACCGCAACATTTCAATATGTTCAGACTAAGTTTAAAGTCCCTTTAAACAGTTTTCACCATAAACCTGTGAAATGACAAAATACTTGTGACTGAATCCTGGACTGGCCTAAAGGGGAATGGGAGTATCTTTAACATCGGTAACATAACAATGTACCAGAATATCATGCTGTATTGTGTTTACGTAAAATAAAATGATTGAAAACCACTACTCTAACAAGTGAGTCTGAATTGGGACATGATTCAGATGTATATAATATCCATGAGTTCTTTAATAAACATGTTTTTATATTCCTTCACTGATTACTACAAAAAACAGTTTTCAGTGGCCAATTTTGGACCTACTGCACTTTCTCCCTCTCCCTTGAGGATTATGTGCAGATTATGAGCATCCGTGCACTATTTTTTACAATATTGTGGACGAGTGTTTACAAGTGTAGCTAATCTCAAGCACAGCAATGATACAGTAAAACATAATCCCTGTCCCTAAAATAACCCATTTTAATTGCAGGGGAGCAAGTATGACTAATGATGAAGTACAAGGTATATTTATCAGAAATGATAAAAAAAAAAGAATATATATATTCAGAAAAAAACTATTTTACCTGGTTGAGAGCTGAGGATGAATGAAGGAGTCTCACAGCCTTAGGGAAGAAGCTGCTCTGGAGTCTGGTGGAAGGAAAATATTTGTCTTGCAGCAGGGAGAACAGGCTGTGGCTGGGGTGTGTACTGCCTTTTAGTATCCTTTCTTATGAAATCTTTCATAACTTAAATCCCTGACGTTTCTGCTGATCAGTACATTCATTTCATGTTATTAAGTTAACATTTATATACATAAGGATGACATTAAATGCACTTGTATAAATGTTCAAATGCATAGAATGTGTTATGTTCTCTTACTTTCAGCATATTCATTGAATAAACTATGTTCTCGTCTAACAGAACAGTATGTTACTTCAGTACTGTTCTACAGAATTACAATACATAGCACTCCAATGACAATCCCAACACTTAATACTAAAAACAATGTTTGATATAGATGTCATGGTTTGAAATGTATATTCTGACATGAAATAAATCAATCTTCTGCTGTACTATCTGCTACCAAGTGACATTAACAAAGGGTATGTATAATATTAAAGCAGGCAGTATGTCATATTACATTATAAGATAACTTGGGTGTGAAGACATTTCTTGCCGTCACCTGCCTCAAATTACAGTTTATTCTGACTTTCCAAAATAATTAAAAAACATGACTATTCTCTGATGGATTTGGGCTTACCATAGCTATGTCACTTAGGGTTAGACAAAGGGTTAAATTTATAGACAGATTTGAAATCCTTATATCAAATCCAAAACACAATACTCCAATTTCTAGAGGTATTTACAGTGCCTAATTTCAGGGGGATTTTTACTGTGCAATATTCATGAATAAAACGTACAATGTTTTTAGACATGATTATAGCATCGGGTGTGGGTCCATGCTGGCTGGGATGTTGTTCTTTATGTGCTGGAGAAACAGTTTCTCAAAGCACTTGATCAGAATGGGGGTGAGGGCCAGTCATTCAGAATAGACACTGCAGACTTTTTAGGTATAGGGACGCTGGTGGGTGTGTCTTGAAGCAGGTGGGAACCCTCTCCTAAGACAGCAATGTGTTCACAATGTTAGGAGTAACATCAACTAGCTGATTGCCACATGTTTTTAGTACACAGCCAGGGATATTATCAGGCCCAGTAGATTTACTTATATTGACTCTCAGCAGGACGCTTCTCACATCCGCTGTGGATCCTGACCGTAGCCGGTCCACTGGAGGTGGAGTAGACTTTACAAGCTGGCTCATCCCATCATACTCACAAGGTCCAAGAATAAGCTCAGGTTTAGCCATTCAAATAAAAACAGCAACATTTTGCATAAAAAGATAAGAGATTGTTCACATTTTGATTGATTTTAGCTTTGTATCAAAAGCCCATCACAGAATACATCATGATAAAAGTTTATAGCAGCTAATTCTGGTGAGTTATGTTATTTGTTTTCAACATTTCTTAACTCAAATATTATTAAGTAAGATAAGTATCAGAACCAAGCTATAAGCAGAATACACCATCAGAATCTTTCAAATTTAAACAATACCCAAGCCTGCATTGGGCCCTACGATTGGGCAATCTGATGATATACAATTTTGATACATTTTATAGTCAGCATGTTATCAACAATAGCCATTCAGTTTATTTACATTGTATAATTAATTACCTCTTTAGTTTTCATTGTAAGTTGAGTCCACCATTCCAGAGCTGGACTCAAACTGCCTACCTAAGCACGAGGGACTCACGGGAAACAATGCACGCATGTAATCCAGTGATTGTTTTTCCACTATTATTGACTGAATTCTTTATTAAAAAAGAAATTGTTGGTAGAACTGTACCCAAATACAAAAGTTGTTCCGTTGTACTGCTGACAGAGTAGCTAATCAAATCTTACAACTAACTGGACTCTGGAAACACTGACACATGATTGTAGTACGATGCCACTGAAAGTTGATAAATGATAATATTATTGCACAGTCCTAGATAACCTACACCTCAGTTCAGTTATATATTCTGGTCAAGAAAAAGACAAGTTACCAGAAGTCTTTGTTTTGTGTACTTAAGCACGTATGTTTAATTACCATGGGGAGCGGAGAGAGAAGGAAGATTGACGAGGAAAAGGGAGTATGAGGGGAACTGACATAACAGGGAAATGTCCCTGCCACACACAGCAGAGACAATATCACATTACCATACACTCTACATTTAGTCAGAAATTCTTCCCAGCCCTACATGGTAATGTTGTTAACACTGGTTGTTGATATAAAGCACTCTAGGAAAATCAACAAAGGTTCACCAGCTGCACCTTAGACAAAAATGAGGTTTAAACCTTTACAAGATCTTGTTAAATGAGCTACCTCATCAACGGGGGATAAAACATAAAACATTTAAAAACAAGAGTTAGAAGGTCTCACAGAGAGGAAACAAGTTCTAGACAAAAGAAAACACAGTTCACAGCTTCTTTTTTTCTCCACCAACAAAACCCCCAACTCAGTGACTAGGATGCAGCTGCTTTTTCTACAACGCAACAAAATAAATAATGTGTACAATTAAACAACACTAAGGGGAAGAAACACTTTTTTTCCTATCAATCTTGTTTAACTGTGAACATTTTGGAACAATGAATATGAACAGTGATGGTTTAGAGCTTACAGTGCCCGAAGCTTCCTGTAGCCTTCTAAAGCAGACTAAGAACACAGTGTCTGAGTTTTCTCTAGTGCTTTTACAGACAACCAAACCTGATCATCTAAACAGTGCCATCCAGGGTCTGTGCCAATGTGCTTGAGTTAGCCTGTTTGAGGTGCAAGTCACCTTCAATTTCCTGCTTGCCACACCTGTGGATAATAAGTAACAGTGTCACTGTTAGAAATATCCCTTTGATGGATAGCTGTGTTTATGTGCATGAGTGCCATTCAGTCTAATATATTGCATTTACAGATCCCATTGAAGTATTAAAATGCATTTACATAAACTGTCCTGTTTACACAATAAACATCAGGAAGAAAAAAACATGCATAAGAACAAACCAAAAGATAAAAGCCGGTTGAGTCATTGAAACTGTTAATAGCTTACTGCTGTGCTTTTAGTACTCAAACAACAGTTATATCAGTGTATACTACAACCAGAGTTCTTAAGCAAAAGCTGAGTCTTCTGTTTAAGTTATAAAAAGGAATCAATTATCTCCTACGGTTCCCTGGGAAACATGCACCACTTGGAAAAGTTTCAAACAACAAAGGCCATATTGATTATTAGTGAAACTAAATGCTTATTATAGACAGCTACATTTAGCGACAGTGTTTGTCACAGCTTACCGAGAGACTGGTCCATTTCCCGTCCTTTCATTTGGCTGCTGGTCCAACTCAGAGAGCAACTTCAATATATTCAGTGCAGCCTGTAGAGGTGAAGGACCGTATAGGTTACACGGCAGGCAACTGCCCCTCAGTTGAGTACAACTCTGTAAAGTAAAGCCTCAGTGTCTTGGTAGCAGGTATTCTTAAAAAACAAAAACTGGAGTGGGGGTCCAGGAAGCATCCTACACAAAACAGGGTGTATGTTGTGTCTTCGTAATGGTATGAGGGCATTACGCATCAGCCTATTCTTAACGGCAACTCCATTTGGTCACCGTCACATAGCTACACTCACTCTCAAAAGGTTTATCGCTAATCTACTGCATGGCATGGTCTTGAAATAAACTTTAGGAACAATTCCTGTATTTTTGGGAAATAAATGCTTCAACAGAGTGTGTTGGTACAACCCCTGGTACTACAGCTGCTCACAGGGGTTGTACACTAAAGAGGAAATATAATGCTCCTAATTAAGCAAAGAATTTATGCAGAAATTGCAGCGTATGAGCAAATACTCCTGCTTTGTTAACACTAGATAAAATATTTGTGAGTGACAATACTGCTTTTTTTACATTTCAAGCACCAAGCTAAACATGTTTCAGCTTTTCATTTAGTAACTTAACATGGGCTTGCAAGGACTGATCCTGTATAAACTTATATGTTTGACCCATTGATAGCCACTTGTTTTCAGCATTTTGTTCCTATTGGTTAGACTTTATCAATGATTTCTAATATGTGCTGGGTTTTGGCTGGAGCATTGTCCCTTCTATTACAGCTAATGTAGCTCACACACAATGTGCTTTCTCACATTGGAAGTTTTACAGATGCATTCTGCACATAAGGCAAAAAAACAAAACTCACCATATCATGACAGGATTCTACATCTTTCCCAATCCCATGACTGATGAGTGGTGGCTGAGAAGAGCAGTTGATCAGTGACACAAATTCATTCTTATTGTTTTTGGGAAAATCTTTGTATTCCACCTGCAAGAAAATAAATCATTTCAATTAACTTTTACCATTTTAGTCTAAATCAATTGCATGTACACTAATAGCCCTACTGAGTTCACCAAAAGCAGAACATGCTGCTGGTTACCTGCAGGCCCTGCACAGATGAAAGATAGCTGAGCTGTTCTGAAGGCCTGGTCAGGGGTCCGTGGGGCAGCTGGTTCAGGTTATTTTTGTTCTTTAGGATAGTCTCAGCAGTCAATGATGTCCCTGCATAAAGCAGCTCATTGGCAATCATGGCAGTGATTGTGGCCTTGCCTGGG